TACAGTACACTCATTAAAAAAACAACAACACACAAACATTGCTTACAAAACGAGGTCAGTCCACTGACAAAAAAAGACTTGGAGCCAACAATTGGAGTTTAGCAATAGAATCACTGTATGACACTGTAGCAGCATGAAGTCTGATGATAACCATCAATGAATTTCAAACAATATTTGCTGGCATGGACATGCAGCTTAATTACATCTTAACTAACAACTGCTGATATTTAAAGTCCAGAATTTACCAAAAAATATTACTTTTCTTTTTTTTAACTTGGAAGCTGACTCTGAAATCTGTGAGCAGAGATTCAGAACTTAAAGTAGCATTCACTAATATCACACACTGAAATTAAAAGCATTGTTTGATGTGAAGAAGTGATTAGCGAATGATGACCATCTGATAATCATAAGATGTTGTCTTTAAAGAAAAAAATATTGTCAAGATCTGTTAAACAATCAAGGAATATTTACTACTGTGGTACAAACCACTTTTGGCTTAAGTCATTTGTGCTTAAAAACGTAATCAGCCTTATCAAATAGCTGCAGTGTTTTCAAAAGGTGATTACACAACAGCTCTGTGGTGATTGCAATGTTTTTCTTTGACCCGGAGTTCAGATTAAGTTCATTCACTGTGTGAAACAAGCTGTTTGATCTTTTTAGACCATCTTCCTTTTGATTAGTTGCTCCTCAACAACAGAAGGTATAAACAGTTGGTGGGTGCCTGAGGTGACCACATTAGGGATAGCCCCTCTCAATGATATCAAATAATGAGCACAGTAGATAGAACTGTCTGAAACCAAGCTATTGACTCGCAGAATAATTTTCACACACCATTAAAAACTTTGTGTTCAAATATGAGTGGCAGTTTCCACTGTGGCAGTGAGCATGACCGAAAATAAAAGCATAGTCGGTCCACTTTAATAGTAAACACTAGTATTTAGTCAGGAAATGAGTCACCCAAACAAAAAAGTATGCATAGTTTTATCAATACTTTTGAAATGTAACTGTGTCCATTGTATTCCTGCTTGACAGTTTGTATTTTATTTTAGTTTGAACAAATGAGTTTTTAAGAAACTTTGAGTTGTCTGGTGTATCTTTATGGGGCAGGAGTATTCCACAGTGTCGTATCTGTAGACACCTAGTGTTGTACTTTTGTTTGAGAGTAGTGCTGACTTAACTTCAGCTTTTGTAATAATTTTAGCTCACCCATCAATATACTGATCTCATGGCAAAATTGAGTGACGTCACTCAAAGACGCACAAAATCATTTGCATTTAACATGGGGGACAGAAACAAAGACATTGGACGTCAGCTAACTGCTTTACATGCCCTTCTATCATGTAAAAATCCTTTTTGTGTTAAATGTATGGGGTACATAAATCTTCTGTATGTACATTACAAAATGTATTTTCAGTCAGGTCTGCACAACTTGGAGAGTCCAGCCAAGTCTAGCCTTCCAGGCTTTTAGACATGTGGGCATGGCCCGGCTGTTTGTCAAATTTCATTAATCAAGTCTACTCTTTAATTATTGTTTAATAATCCATCAGAAAGAAGTTTTGCCTTTGCCAGCTGCAGGGAAGCTCTTCTATAGCTGAGCCTACAGTAGCTACAAAAGTATAAAGCTATAGGTCAGGTGGGAATACAAGAGCTTCAGCAGCACACTCGGCATCGTCGTCTTCGTCTTCCTCTGGAATATTCTCTGGCTCCCATGTAAAGATATCTGACGCATTGTCAGTGAATGAGCCAGATGTGCTCCTTAACATCTCCCAAGGGCACAGAGCATCTCGCCTGCCCAGGGCTAAGTTTGCTTTAGACTCATCTGTTTGCTCAGGGCTTGTGTCTGCTGGAGTTTCTTCGACACTAAGGCAGCTCTGACTTTCTATGACATCCTTGTCACTGTTGGGAATATCATTTTTGTCTTCACCTGCTCCAGTGATGCTTTTCTTTTGGACGGTTTCATCAGTTTCCCACGGACAAACATTTGCCAGAGCACTATCTTGTTTTTGGAGAATTTTTGGTTCTTCTGTTTCCCACGGACAAACATTTTCTTTAGTGCTATCGTC